GCCTACCACTTTGCCCCTAATTTGAATCATACCCACTCACCTGCCTGCACGGCTGCCATTTGTCTCAGCAGTATCACTGTCTTTGGCACAGGGACAGCCTGCCTGGCACTAATCTGTCAAGCAACAGGGAAGGCAGAGTTATTCATGGGGGAGGGGTGCGGGTGCAGACAGACCCACCGCCATCTGTGAGGTAGGGGGTCCACACTGCCCTTGCCCTGGGCAAAGGGCCTTAACACTTTTCAGACATTTGGATGGCATATATTGACCTGAATGTGTGAACTGAGATAAGTGTAGTAGTAGTAGTAGTACAGTGGTACCTCTGGATGCGAACGGGATCCATTCCGGAGCCCCGTTCACATCGTGAATAGAACGTAACATGCGACTGCGAGTCTGCGCGACTGTGGGTCGCGTTTCGCTGCTTCCGCACATGTGCGTGACGTCATTTTGAGCGTCTGCGCATGCACAAGCTGCAAAACCTGGAAGTAACACATTCCATTACTTCCGGGTCGCTGCAGAGTGTAACCTGAAAACGCTCAACCTGAAGCATATTTAACCTGAGGTATGACTGTAGTAGGGACGTGGGTGGTCTAAACCACTGAGCCTAGGACTTGCCGATCAGAAGGTTGGCAGTTCAGATCCCCACGGCGGGGTGAGCTCCCGTTGCTTGGTCCCTTCTCCTGCCAACCTAGCAGTTCGAAAGCACGGCAAAGTGCAAGTAGATAAATAGGTACCGTTGCAGCGGGAAGGTAAATGGCATTTACGTGCACTGCTCTGGTTCGCCAGAAGTGGCTTAGTCAAGCTGGCCACATGACCCGGAAGCTGTACGCCGGCTCCCTCGGCCAATAAAGCGAGACGAGCACCCCAACCCCAGAGTTGGCCACGACTGGACCTAACGGTCAGGGGTCCTTTATGACTGTAGTAATATATTATTTATACTCCACCCATCTGGCTGGGTTTCCCCAGCCACTCTGGGCAGTTCCCAACAGAATATTAAAAACACAATAAAACATCAAACATTAAAAACTTCCCTAATCAGGGCTGTCTGGTTAATTGTATTGAGGCTTATTGTCCATATAAGCTGACAGGTTTCTTCTGATTTTCTTCATGCTTCCCACCCCACTTTCCTTTCTTTGCTTTGCTTTTCTTTTTCTTTTTTTTAAATTTCCTAAATCAATTTTAAATAAAAATCATTTTTTTAAAAAAAAAATCTGATGAGGAATGCTAGGGAAGAAAGCATCTAACACCCTCTCCATTTTCCTGATTAAAATCCTTTCCCGTTGCCCTTTGCTTTTGCTGGGGGGGGGGGGTGAAATCAGGTACGACTGGTGTTTCACCACCACCAGTATGGTCAAAAAGCAGCTGTGGATTTAGATCAAGGAATCAGGCCCAGAGGGCAAAGTATTCTGTGTGCCTCTGCCCCAATGCAAATTATAGAGGGTCCTCCGATGGCTTGCTTTGAAATAAAATAAAAAGCCACTGGGATAGCCAGTCACAAACAATGCAAAAAATGGTCTACAGTCCCAACAAAGACCGTGTCCTGACCTGGAAGCATTTCTAGCCTTGCCAGGTCAGAAGAAGGCAATGGGCTGCCCAAGGGTTGGAGCTCTTCAAATCTAGCAAGATAATATTGCCTCTTCTTCCTCTACTGCAGTCTCAAGTATCTCATCATTCAAGGGAGGGTGCAGACCAGGAAACTCCGGGGTTTAAGCTCTAATTGACCTGGCAAGCCTAAGTTTGCACTGTTGTTGAATTATTCTTCCTGGGCCATAGCTCCATCTTGCTTAGGGATGGAGGGGGGAAAATTGATTCAGTTTGCATTTTAATGTGAAACTACCTAATTTGTTCTTGCTGAAACAATATGCAAACTGAGACGGGGCCAACCTTTTAAAATTTGTGCGTCTCTGAATTTTGCAGTGCAGTTCTCAAATAACAAAAGAAGGCACACAGACGCCTGGGCCTATATTAGAACTGTGGCGAACTGAACTTAAAATTTGAGAAATCAGAAACTGAGAGAAGCCAAAATTGACTGAGATGCTCATCTAAACTTCTGACATTGGGATTAAATCAATACCTAGTTCAGCTTGACTGCTGTGTAGAATTCACACTGGCAGCCTCCTAAGAGTCAGGTCTCACTTTTTCCTTAAAATGTCTCCCAATAAGGTGCCTACAACAGTCACCCAGCCATATTCGATGCTATAAGGTAAAGGTAAAGGGACCCCTGACCACTAGGTCTAATCATGGCTGACTCTGGGGTTGCGGCGCTCATCTCGCTTTACTGGCCAAGGGAGCCGGCGTACAGCTTCCGGGTCATGTGGCCAGGATGACTAAGCCTCTTCTGGCGAACCAGAGCAGCGCACGGAAACGCCGTTTACCTTCCTGCCAGAGCGGTACCTATTTATCTACTTGCACTTTCTAACTGCTAGGTTGTCAGGAGCAGGGACTGAGCAATGGGAGCTCACCCCGTTGCGGGGATTCGAACCGCTGACCTTCTGATCGGCAAGTCCTAGGCTCTGTGGTTTAACCCACAGCGCCACCCGCGTCCCATTCCATGCTATGCTCCACCACAATTCACACACTGGTGGAGGAGAATTTCATGGTCCCTACAGTGAAATATTGAATTTTGAGAGCTAGAAAGAGATGATAACCTTGCACTCATAGTGTGCAACATCAGGAAAGGCCTCTGTAGAATGAGTAACAACACCTGGCCCCTTGTGGTGTGTGCTGTAAACTAACCTTTTGGGAAGGGCTGGAGATGCATACCCAGAAGATGGCAGCCCAGTCCTGTGAAATTCTCGGGCTGAGTTTGTTCCTTTTAAAATATGACCAATGTGGTGTGCTTCTCCCCAGATTTGACTCCTTGCACAAATATGATGACAAAGCGAGGCACATGGTACATTCTAGGGCCAGGGTCTCACCTATGGATAGATTATCTCGGGTTAAGTACTTAATTCGTTCCGGAGGTGTGTACTTAACCTGAAACTATTCTTAACCTGAAGCACCACTTTAGCTAATGGGGCCTTCTGCTGCCGCCGCGCCGCCAGAGCACAATTTCTGTTCTCAACCTGAAGCAAAGTTCTTAACCCGAGATATTATTTCTGGGTTAGCAGAGTCTGTAACCTGAAGCGTATGTAACCTGAAGCATATGTAACCCGAGGTACCACTGTATAAAGTTGGTGGTGCACACCCATATGAATGGCACTTCTGTGAGACCTTGGCTCAGCGGCAAGTCGCACCCCCACTTCACCTGACCCCATCCCCACACTTCCAATACAGGTGGGCACCATCACTTATGAATTGGATAATTCATAATACCATATATAACAATGTAATGTTGTCAAGCAAACTTAATAAAATAATTTTTTTAAAAAAACAAATTGGACTCTAGATTGGCTAGAGTATACATTTTCTTCCATTTTCTATCCTGTCCAAGATTTGCAAAGAACATTTTCCAATGGACTGCTGCTGTTGGAGCTGCCCAGGGAATACTGACCTGCTGAGGGCCTGAGGGCCCTGCTCCGCCTCTCTCCATCGGTCTAGGGCGAGGCCTGACAGGCTGGAGCAGCTCCTGGTGGACAGGCCACAGGGCCACTGCTGGACCTCCTGGTCGGCCTCTACACCAAGTGCAGTTGCCACTCACTGCTCCAGAGGGACAGGCTAGTCTTGGACTTCCTCAAGTGGAAATGGACCTCCAGATTATTGAAAGCGATGTGGGCAAGTTCCTCCTCAACAGTGCCAAGGCAGGCTACCCAGAGTCAACATCCACCTGACCACTGGCGGGAGGCCTGAGAGCCCCACCATCTCCACCATGGCCCGCCACTCAAGGACCCCAGCCAGCGAAGCATCTGGCTGAGCTGGCTTAACAACAGACATGATGTGCATGTGTGTATTTTAATGAACTGAACAGAGTCGTGGGGGTGCAGAGATTGTGTGAACAAACTTAGTGCTTAGCTTATCTTTTAATTGCTATTTTGTTAATGTTTTTAATATTGTTTTATAGATTCTAAATGCTGCGTTGATTTGTTAATCACATGACTTGCCATAATTGTGAGATTTAGCCTACTTTTTAGTTAAGTTTTTTTATTGATAATTTGTTAATTATTTTATATGATGTATGCTGTATTCGCGATGTGCTACTATGTTTTATTATGCTATGGTTATTTGTTGGTTTGTAAGCCACTTTGAGATTCACTTGAATGGAAAGCGGCGTCGAAATACAATAAATCAAAATCAAATAAACCGAATGAAAATACTTCCTTTAAAACCCCAAGCATAGCCCAGAGGTGTGCATTTCTGTTCGTTGTCTGGGTCTTTCCTTACACATGCTCCAAGGCTGAAATTCCATTGGCAGCAATTGTGATATCCAGTTATGCCCAGGCTTGCACAGAATGGGTGCACGTGAGGCCGATGGCTTTGCACGAGTGCCTGCAAACATCCATCCTTTGCAGGAATTGCAGGCGTCCTTACTGACCGTGGATCCTGAGGCCAGTGACTGACAGCCTGGTTCGCCTGGTTCCCATGCCATCCAACGGTTGTAAGAAATGCCGGCTGCTGACCAACTGAGCGTGATGCCCAACAGGAGGCACATGGGCCCTGTGCCTGCCAGGAACCCCAAAAGCAGGCTGGCCGGCCAACTGGCTGATGGAGAGGCGGGGAAGAACCTCCTTCCTTCCCTCCCTGGGCAAGGCTCTCCTGAACTCACATCCAATCCATGTTTCTAGTCGCTCATGAAAGTGCTGTGAGCTCTCCTAAGCCACCTCTATTATGTGTTCACTGGTCTATGTTATTCCAGTGTGTAGACACTGGGCTTCCTCTTGTTTGCTTTCCAAGTCCCTTTGCTTAGGCTGGGTCTGACTCGGGAGTTTCCTTATCAGCCCTGTGCAGGCAGCTCCTGTGCGGCTTATCTCCGAACTGCAGAACATCCCCCGTCCAAAGAGGGCAGGAAATCTCTCTCCTGCAGGGGAGGGGAGAGGGAGGGAGTGGGGAGGGGGCTTGGCCCAGGCTCCTTCATCAAAGCAGCTCCTTCCAGTGGCCAAATAGCGCCTGTCAATAAAGAGAGGTGGCCGCAGGGGGAATTTGTAAGGAACGAGGTGGCAGGAAAAGCGGGAGCCTAATTGATTTGAAGTCCCCCAACCCAGCAGCAAATAACAATAATAATTATACGCACGCTCTGGCGGAGGGAAGCCGAGGAGGAGAGAGGAAGTGGCCGCGAATCATGGCCCCCGGGCATAGTAGCCTGCAGCAGCCATGTGGCCGGCTTCGGGGGTAGAGTGCCTGGACAACGCGGGCCGCTCACCTTCTTGCAAGGCTCTAGAATCAGAGGCTGGCACCTCCTGTTTCGTCTTTGAGGAGACCCCTGTGGCAAGGCTTCTACATGCCCCCGCACCTTGCCACCCAGGCCTCTTTACAGCCAGCAATCAGGTGACACCCCATTTCACCTCGGGATCCTCCGGCCATCGGACGGGGTTTCACGGCCTTCCTGTCGGCCCTTCTGCCCCTGGGGATTAAAAATGACCGCCTTGGTTGACCTTTGGAAGAGGAAAGATGGCTTTGGCCCAGTGACATCTGGCAGGTGAGGAGAGGGGCTTTTGGGGAGCGGCGGGAAAAGGATGGTTGGCATCTCCCTTGGAAAGAAAAGGGAGAGGGGACTGAGTTTCAATGATTTTATTTTAGCAAAGACGGTTGTTAAGGTCTTTTGATTCATAGTTTGCCCAGAAAGGACCGGTGGTTCCTTCTCTTGCAATTTGTTGTTGTTGTTAAACAAAAACCCATTCTTACTCTTGTGGTACACAGCTCCGTATTTTTTCTCTTAGACTGAATAGCTTGTATGTTTTTATGGTATTTTTTTTACTGTATCATCAGTCCAGAATAAGGATGTCTAGTAGCGCAATTAATCTTAAGACTATTCTCCCTCCAATTGCCCTTTTTGTGTGGGGAACTTTTTGTTCCTGATGAATTCTTCATCTCTCCTCACCGCCCCCCCTTACTGCCTGACTGCTGATCCCACTGCTAAAATCTAATTTAAGAAAAGAAATGGCATCTGTAAGGCCCAGGAAGCATAACTGCAGAATGGAATTTTCACAGCAACCCGAAAACACATTTACAAGCCAAATAGATTTTGCATTGAAATCCAAATCCAGTTCTGTATAGTAACTAGAGTGGCGTCCGTCGAGCAGCGCTCATCTGTCACAGGGTCCTCCTTCATTTTTCTATATGGCAATTACAGTTAAATAATCACCGCTAATCAATAGGTTTGAAACTTCCACCTGCACTCCCGTTTGAATTTCAAAGATCCCTGTGATCTCTGTGCTAATCTTGGAAATTATCACTGTTGTTATTTAAGCTGCTGTGATATCATTCGTTTGCTCGGCAATTGCATCTCTTATCGTGCCTCATCACCCACATGGTTTCCTACCGGAGTGCAATTTGTAACAAAATTGAGCGATTATGACTTCTTGCTTCACGTTTCGAAGACCAAATTCAATGCTGTGGCTCATTCGTGTTTTCTACCAGACTGACACAGCGCTTTTTTATCTACAATTCCCTGCTCCTCCTCATACAGAAGATGAACTCACATGCCGTACAGTCATCTCTGTAAACATGTAAAATAGTCATCTATGTAAAAAGAAAAGAAAAGTGTGTGATATATTGTTAATGACATGCACAGATTTTTTTTAATTTTTATTTTTCTTGGTATGACACAACACTGTAATGGCCTCAGCATTTTAAAAATAAGAGATGCAAAATAGAGAGAGTGACATTTTCTCCCCTGGATTAACAATTGTTGCAGCAAGGGCCGCTTCAGACATGACACTCTTCCTCAACGGCAAACACTTCTATGTAGGAAAATTGTACGCGCGTGTGAAAATTGTGTTTAGATTGTTATGTGTGTGACAATTGCACACGTGTCTGTCTCACGGTGAGCACACGTGCGGGAGGTCTTGGCTCCCAATGCATGTCTTTCCCACTGCATGTGAAATGGTCCCACACTGAACTGCCACAGGCACGACAAATATTTGTGCAATATAAGTATGTATAATCTCCCCTTTATTACATCAGTAGTCCTAGGGCAGTTTCTAACCTCTGTTAAAAATACATTTAAATATAACTACCAACCAAAAGCAAAACCCAGCTGCAGCAGGCGAGAGCAATAACAATATTTATTATGTATATATACATTCATTATTAAAAAATTATGCACTTCCACATAATATCATGTACAAAAACAACATATAGTACAGTATCTATCTTTTAATTACGGTACTTGTGATGTACAGTACATGACAAACATTGGGGCCACAGTCCCTCGCAGGGTTTTGTACTCGTTAAAGACACCGATTTAAATTGGCTTTAAGTCCTCCTAACTCTTGTGCTGTTTTGCAGCCGCAGTGTATTTATTTATAAGATGTATGAATATGCCAATGCATGTGTTAAGAAAACCGAAGGCAGGAAGTTAGCATGGTAATATAACATTTTTAGGATAAAGCAATAATCCAGAATCCCATTAACCTGAAATATTTGGATTTAAGTTAGTTTCTGTTTCATTGAAAGTCAATGTAACTAATTTGGGGCAAACGAAGAAACAATTGATTAAAGTAAGTCATGGATTGGCTGTATTAGGTTTAACCAGTACAGTATACAGTATACTCATTTAAAGTGGATTTTTTTCCTTCAATGGGGGGGGGGGAATAAAAAGCTGAATAAATGCCCTGAACTTGTGGGTGTTCAATGAGCTCTGCTTCTCAATTTTAGACACCGTATACTTTGTTGTCCTTCTTTCTTGTGCTGTCCTCCAGTTTTAGGGGGAAATATTGAAGGCAAAATGAAAACATGTGACAGTCGACGTCCCCGACTTGTAAATCACAGAACTGTGGTTTGTTTTTTGGCTTTTTTAAGCAGCCTGTGTTTTAAAATTCTGGTGCGTACGAGTTGAAAGTAGCTCGTAATTTTTGTCTGTGTGCATGCGTAAGAATGGCTTTGAAAAGGCCTCAGATGTTGCTGATTGGGACGCCAAACCCTCCTGATGACATTTGCAAAACCATTTCCTCTATTTCTCAAACATTTTTATCGCCTGACACTCAAACAAAGGACTGTGGCAGCCACTCAGAATAAGCATTGTTGCCATTTTATCTCCCTTAGCTCAGTTACCTGCGCTGCAAAATATCATCGCATCCCATCTCCGTCCTGATTCTTAATCCAACATTTTGTATGGGGAGTCCAAGTGAGCCAGGCATCTGAGGGGAGCCGAGCCTTGTGGACAGATATGTTTTTAAAGCCCTGAATATGATGGCATTTTCCTGAGCAGCAATTCACTTTGTAATCAGAGCAGTTTCATAATCTATTCAGAAAAAGGACAACAATAAATAAATAAAACCATGTTCCCAAGTCAATTACTAATATCAATCAAAGCATTTGCAAATTTCCTTATTCACAGTTGTGCACCACCTGGCTCATATTTGCATGTTTAAATTTGGACTCAGCTCTCTGCAGATTTTGACCACTGTGCATTGTTTCTAGCCGAAAGGGCGACATGAGGGAGATTCTCATGAGGCGGGAAAATGTAACAGAGAGTCAAGTAGTCATTTGGGCCCTTAGAGAAGAATTCCTCCTCTCAATGCACTGGGCAAATTCTGACTACGCATTTGCAGTTGGTCTTCACAACCAGGGAGTCAAAGCATTACAAAATGGGCTTACTTCTTGTACAGGTACACCAGCATATTTCCAACTCTCTGTTTTGGTTCCGATCTACCTATAGATTGGAGATCCCTTCCAACCACACAATTCTACAATTCTAAAACTTCCACAACTCTTTTCTGGCGTATTTGGCCATTAGCAGATAGAACAAGCATTTCAGCAGCATTCCGTTGCTTCCTGTCCTCGCTGGTAGGCAGAGCTTGAGAGAACGTCTCTTCCTCTTTCATAACAGAACACGGAGGGTCAGCGGAGCCAGCCTTGTCATTCGACAAAGTGAATTGGATGCTACAGGCAGCACATGTTTGGGGTCAGAGGAGCAAAGGCAAAGACTTTGAGGGCAGAGTTTTGTGAGTTGTCAAATGCCCTGCCCTTTCCTGCTACCCCACTGCCATGAGACCTCCGGGTACAGGGCGCTATATAAATTCAATAAAAATAAATTTTAAAAAGTTGCTTGTAGGTCTGGTGGGAGATTCCCACAGGCATCTGGTTGGTCACTGTGAGAACAGGATTCTGGACTAGACGGGCTATTGGCCTGATCCTGCAGGCTCCTCTTATGCTCTTAAGATCAGAAGGTCGGCGGTTCGAATCCCCGCAACGGGGTGAGCTCCCGTTGCTCGGTCCCTGCTCCGGCCAACCTAGCAGTTCCAAAGCACATCAAAGTGCAAGTAGATAAATAGGTACCGCTCTGGCGGGAAGGTAAATGGCGTTTCTGTGTGCTGCTCTGGTCGCCAGAAGTGGCTTAGTCATGCTGGCCACATGACCCGGAAGCTGTATGCCGGCTCCCTCGGCCAGTAAAGCGAGATGAGCGCCGCAACCCCAGAGTCGGCCATGACTGGACCTAATGGTCAGGGGTCCCTTTACCTTTAAGATGACACTGACAGTCTGGTATGTGAGGTGAGGGTGGGGGGGTGGAGAGGCACTGTTTCGTTCTTCCTCTCAGCTCCAAAATAGCCTTGACCCTGCTGGCGACGTTGATGGGCAGAGAGTTCAGAACTGATGGAAGGATAGTCCTTTATCACGCACAATGTGTATCAGACTTATGGCGATACCACTCATTTGAACACAGCTAGGCAGAAATATGGGTTGCCCTCTCTGCCATTATTAGCAGCCATTGAAAACATCACATTCAGTGAAAGGGAGAGTAGACCTCTGGCTACAGAAGAGCAGGCTAATGGGTGCCTTGTTTTCACTTCCATGCCTCACCGGTAAGTTTCCAGAGATACCAGGTCTTATCTGCCCAGGGTCTCTGGTGTCTTCTCCATTTTATTCCGTGTTGAGCTTCATTGATAAGCCAGTCCAGGCAGGGCTGTGGCATTTGTGGGTTTGCTGTGGTCAAGCACCCCTCATCTCTTAGAGCAGTAATTCAAGGCTGTCGTCCGAACCACACAGACCTTCCCGATTTGAAATGGGAGCTGCGTCTCTGGGGGAAAGCAGTTCCCGGAAGGCAAGCCCCAGGAGAGACTAGCCACGTGCCCCCTTTCCACAGTGAATGGCAGGTTCTGCCTCACATTTTGCGTGTGCCTCATAGGGCAGCTGACGGGTGCAAGCAAATGGTTTTGCTACCCCCATGCATAGCCTGAACTGGGGAGAATCTCCTTGTGCTGGAGAGCAAGATAAATGTAGGAGGCAGGCAGGAGGATTATCAGTGCTGAGACAACTTCTCTGGACCCTCCCTTTTCTAACGGTTTCCTGGACTGAGCCTTTATTTTTTTTTCTCGAGGGTTGGAGGAGAGAGGCAGTTTCTTACCAACCTCCAGAGACACCCCCTCCCCTATTGATGACTGAATCACTTATTCTGAACCAGCTACAGTGGTACCTCTGGTTACATATGCTTTAGGTTACAGACGCTTCATGTTACAGACTCCGCTAACCCAGAAA